ATATATATATATATATATATATATATATATAATATTATATATATATATATATATAAAAATGTGTGCTCAGTGATTGCTGTGTCTTTGTTATTTTGAATGTGACTGATATGGCTGAAGTGTGTGGACTTTGGTGTGCCTCTAGGATGCAGTCTCCTCAGGTAGGCTTCGTATTTGGATGGTGGTCAGGGAAAGAGCATGCAGCGATCAGCAGTTCCAGATTTCATCAACTTGCAAAACTTCAAAATGTGTCTTCAGTTCTGCAATCAGATCAGTAGAAAAAGTCAGAAAAATGATCTGGGGCTGAGTAGATGGTGGTGGTTGGGTTTGGGTTGTGGGGTTTTTTTCTTTTTTTTTTTTTTTTCAAAAGTAGATAATGTTCATTTTCAGACTGACGTCAGACTTTTTTGCTATGGGGAGGCATCCAGCTTGTGGGCAGAATGCAGATTTGGAGCATAGGAGCCTTGATTCCTGTTTCTGCTGCTGTACCCAGACCTCAGTAATGGAGTTTGTTCTGATTATTCTGAGCTGGACAGAAGACAGATTTGAGATGACACCTAGTACAGTAGTTTAGGAGGTGTCATGCCTTTCCTCCCTCTTTTCTGTGTTGGTCTACATGACCCTTCTCTGCCTAACACTTAATTCTTGTTTGAGTGTGCTTTCATTAAAACTTCTCTAACTGGTCAGGAATATTGTTGTGTCTGTTTTATTTGGCACAGAGGCATCCAAATTTACAAAAGTCTTTGTTAAATCCAGACAGATTACTTAATTTTGAAGTTAATCTGACCTTTTTTTAAAAATCATTGCAGAAAGGATTGCAACATAACGTGAAATCTAAACTGAGTCTGTCATGTCCACTCCAGTTTTTACTAAATTCAAAGTACTTAATGACAACTTCTTTCAGTTTTTATTAGCCTTTAAAATTAGTATGCTGCTGAGGGGAGCTGTTACGTTTTGATAATATTGGCTTACAATGTACATTCCTGTTGCCTTGTAGATCCACACTAATGCAGAGGACCTTCTGCCTCTGAATGCTGGCAGCTAAGAACTTAGCATAGTCAGATAGCTAGCAAGTTACTTTCTCCTGACTTCTTTTTTAGCAGATGCAGCTTATGAAATTTAGAAACAGTTAGGATGGGTAAAGAAAACTGCTTTTCTGGCAGCCTGGGAAGCAGGGGGTTAAATAAATTCCTGCAGATTTTTTAGGGAAATATGGTTATGGGTTTCACAGAAGTGCCTTGAGATAGAAAAGCCTAATAAGGGAAAGGATAGCAACCAATGTGTTTAGACTGGGAAATATGAGATAGTATAAAGGTCAAGAAAAGAAGAATTATGCATCAAGGGATAAAAATCTGAAAGATCTGAATGCCCAATTCAACTCAAGCAGCTGGATGTAGTTTGGACCTGTTCATAACAATTACTAGTGGAGATGGAAAATAAGTATGTCAAAGAAAAAGTAGTGTTCATTCTAGAAGGGTAATGATAAGGGATGCTCATTGTCATGACAGACTGATGTAGTGGGAAGCAGTTGTGTGCAGCAGTGGGGTGCAGACAACAGAGAGAGAGTCTTTGGAACCAGACATGCTCAGCTGTCAGGCTGCAGAGATGGGGGAAACAGAGGGAAACATGGGCAGGCAGCTGGGTGCAAGAGGGTCCTCATTTCAGATACTGCATAAAAGTACATATTAGCTATTTCATATCATAGATATGAGTAATTTCTCGAATGTCGGAATGAATCTCTTTCTCTCTTTTTCAAAACAAAATAGACAACTGAGAAAACACACAAACCTATAACTGCATTTGCTTTTTTATTTTTTCCACTCAGCAGCTAAAACAGTACTTGAGAAACTAAAACTTTTCCTTGCTCTTTATTTACAAAGGTAAAAATTAAATAAATGGAGAGAAAATACTTAAACTACTAACACATACAGACTTCCCAGAAATATTTAGTTGCAGGAAGAAAACCAGATGATCCCAATAGACATGTGAAATGCCATTGTAGTGTTAGTTTGCAATTTTGCTTTGGGATCTTAAAATATTAACTGTACAGATTCTAATAATAATCTTACAAAATTTATTTTCACAACTTTTTAATATGTGCTTTCTTTCCCTCCTTAATTTCTAAAGCAAAACACTCACCTCTGCCACCTCAAATTTTATTTCCAAAGGATAAAGGTGTAATAGAAGTGGAGCTTGGTAAGTACAGACTTTAAATTGTTTTTAAAGTAACATCTTGCCATGGTCTAGTGAACATGCAGATTTTCAAGTAGATTTAATGATGGAATTTTTCATTACAGTTTTGGACCATAATGTTTACCAGATTTAATTCACTCCAGGCACAGTGATGTGAAGTTAGGTGAAACTGATGGGTTATTTAGGCATTAAGCAGCAATTCAAAGGGATTTAAATAACCCATTCTACCTTCACTAGGATAGACTAGGATTACTCACATGGTCAATTCTAAACCTCAGCTGAAGGAGTGACAGCTTCTGTCCACTTCCAAGAGGGCTTTAACTAAATCCCTTGGGACTGTTTGATGGTTCCCCTAAGAGAGAAGGATGGACTATTCTTGCAGCTAGATATACTCCTTGTTACTTGGGAGACAGTGCTTGTGTCCCTGTTGATGAATGAAGGAGAGTAAGGGACTGGTCGCTGGCCCCGAGGCTGAGAAGCACTGCCTGCCTCGTGTCCATGTTGGCTAGTGTCTGGCTGGAAGATACTGGGAGGGCTGAAAGACAGGATCAAGGAGTGAACTTCTTAGAAATAGCAGGTTGGAGAGCCCATGATGCGGAGCTTGGTCCCTGTCTCCTTTTTGTTTAGGACCATAGATGTTCTCAGTGATTCAGATTCACCCTGTGTAACTTGCAGCATCAGAACAAGGTGCTTGTGGTAGGAGTGAGAGCCCTCTGGGGTTTTTGTATAGTCAATGGATAAAGGTAGACCTCTCCAGAAAATGACTAAGCCCATCTGAAACATAAATAGGTAGCCCAGGATGCCTGTCTCCTAGGGCAGGTTGGGTGAATCTGGGCTGCTGGAAGAAGAGATCGCAATCACCACTCCACTGTTTCTGTTCTACAGCAAGGCTGCTCTGGTAGCAGGTACTGCAGGGGCCTGGGGCCCTGTCTGAGGTAACATGTACCATGACTCAGAGACTTGCCATGTTGGCTTGAGTCCCATTCTTTTTTCCTCTTTCCCCAGTTGCTTTGTCACTCAGATGATCTGTGCTCCAGGACCATCTTTCTCTAACAACATGGTCTCTAGTGCTCTGTGGGCTCTGCCCACCCCTCTGGGACAAACAATTTGCTGTACTGGTTCTATCGTTTTCTATTTGCAAAAATGAAGGGATTTCTCCATGATCCCTAATACCAATTCAGGATGTAAGTCATAAGATTTGTTAATTTTATTTAAGCCCTGCTTAGATACATATTTGGATGGAAGTAATTTGAAGTGTTTTAATTAAACCTTCTTCCTGTGCAATGGTGACTCTTACTTTGGAATAAATATTTCCTAATGACAAATGATTAATAAGTAATTTCCTGGTTTAGTTTTGCTTGGACTGGTTTACTTCTGTCCAGCTTGAATAAAATCCAAGATAAGACTCTGCACAGAAGATTTATGCAAAATAATATATACTGAAATTTGATCATGTTATTACCATGTCCATTTGTGTGTAAACCAGCATTTACTTTCCATGTTCCTCAGTAGTTGAATACATGGGTTAAACATCATGAGTAAAGTCTACAATGCCTTCATTATAACAAATATAAATAATTCCCTTTGTAATCCTTGGTGTTGTGTTAGAGCATTTGTTAAAAAATCTCGTTTTACTATTTCTTTTCAAGTCACTTCTATGCATCATTTTGTCAGCAGTAGTTCAGAAAAATGTATCAGAAGTATTAAGACAAAACTTGCAGGTGGTATGAAGATTTGTAGAAAAAAAATGTTATGAGGAAAATAAAATTACACTTGTTTTTCATCAGGGTATGTTTACATTTCTCTGTATCTTGATTAGGTGCTGCTCTGTCTCTGAAATGTCAGGCCCGCCTGGGGATTAAGAAACAGCCAATAGCTGTTGTCACATGGGATGTGGATAACATCCCAGTGAAATACTCAGATTTTTCAAGATTTCATGAAGAAACTCATTTGTAAGTACATATAACACAGAATAATCTTTCTTCTATGCAATCTGTGCCATTAAAGTCAACGGTACCAGCTCTTTCTCTCTCTATTAGTTTTGAAGGACGTGAGCAAGAGTATTACAGAGAGACCACTTTGCATATTACTGAAATAAGAAAGGAGGATCTGCAGACAAATTTCACATGTGTTGCAGTGAATGAAATGCACAACACAAAAGCCACAGTGACATTACAACTCAAAGCACAATGTAAGGGTAGGATTTTAAAATTTTGTTTTCTTAAAGTTTGCACTCAGTTTGAAATATATTGGTGATTTTATTTTATTGTTTCTGTTAGTAAGAAGAAAAAACAGCCTGCTTTCTCCCTACATATTCAAGCTGGTGGCAAAATTCTCTTGGCTTCATTAGGTCATGAAAATCCTTGGGGTAACTTCTGCTGGGGGTGGGCGGCATTACTCAAATGATATCAGAGAGAGATTAAATATGCAGAGCATGACTGTATCATCAGCCCTGTGACGAGAATATCCTGTTTCTAAGATATTTCTGCTTGGTGTCAAATTCCCCTTGCCTTGAAGGCTGACAGTGCCCTTGGATTTGAAGCACACTGGTATAGTGCAGTCTGCTTTACAAAATACTCAGGCTGTAGAGGAGCCTCTGCAGATGAGAGACAGGAACTGTCCTCTCCTTTGATCATCAGTGTTGCAATGCATTGTGAGGAGCAGAGATCATCTTCTTTTGAGAATTAAACTGTTCCTAGTGTGGAACCATAGCAGAAAATAGGGAAACTTTAAAAACAAGAGCCTGAGCTTCCAGTTTGCCAGTTTACTTGCTTTCTCTCCCATACCACATCAACTGTTGTGCCTTGGTTTTTGACTGAATGTTAAGTGGCATGACTAACTTCTGTGATGTCTGGCTTTATCCTCTCTCCCTCTGAGCATCTCTGTGTTCTGCCAAACAAGAAAAATCCAGGGCAGTAAATGGTGGGGGCTGGGATGGTCTTTAGATCCTATGGGATTTTTTTTTTTTAATAGGGATAGCCAGATCCCTAAGCACTGTTGCCAGCATGAATGAGTTAGATTCTTATGGCAGAAAATGCTATTGTGTCTGTGAAAGCACAATAAGAAGCTGAGGTCCTTTCTTAACCCTTCATATATGCTGAACCACCAAAGACCTTGAGAAGTAATCCCAGGGCCTTTAGCAGGGATTAGTTTTCTGTAAGAGAATGGTGGGAAGAGTAAAATCAAGTGTATAGTGAACACAAGGTGTGCACAGGTCCAGGTCCTGCAGTATTCTTGACTGTTCATAACTTCCTACAGGATCATGGCTTCAAAGAATATATATTTCCTTGCCATTGCCTAGACTAGAAGGGATGTAGGTGAATTATAACAGAGGATAGGGCATCATCCAGCAGGATAGCACCTGTTCCCCCCAGAGCAAGGTGGCAGGAGATGTTTTGGTTGGATATTACTAAGTGAGTGTGAGTGTAGCATCAATCAGGAAGCTGGAAGCACATCAGCTCTGCACTGAAGTATCTGAGTGTGGGAACATACTTGCAGTGAGAAGGAATGAAACTAAGTTCCAGCTTGCTCTAGTTCAAGCAATGCAAGTCCTTTATTTGCCCCATATTACAAATTATATGAAGGGAAGACTATATTTAATATTCTATCTTCATCAAGTGATTCATCAAATCTGATTTCTGCTGTAGACAAATCTGATTTTGTTTTTTATCCATAGGTCTTCAGTAAATGTTCATGAAAGCTCTTGATTGTGACCCCTCCTTTGCTGCTGCCTGTTTTGTGTGGATATCTGTCCCCTTCTCCTTGTTGCTGCTATTGTCGAGATGCCTGCTTCTGGTCCTCAGCACTGCTGGTGTAAGCAGTGCTATTTCCAGAAATGGTTGTGCTCTGCCTTGGTTTTCTTCACTTGCTCCTCACAGAGCTGAGCAATATTTATGCTAAAACAATGACAACTTGCCTCTAAGTATAATAAAAATGCTGAAGGGTTTGCTTGTGCCTCTCATCTTGTAAATGTGTAATAAAAATGTGTACTCTCATTCTTTTTTTTTTGTGTTTTGTTTGCTTGTTTATTTTTAATGGGAAAAAAAAGTAATGTGGTGGGTTTTTTTAATATATGATTGTTCCTTAGTGTTTCCCACAGCACAGCTTGTGTCTGCTAGTTACTCTGCTGCTAATACTCTTTTTACACAAGTTCCTGCTCTGTGTTCTGGTTGGTGGTGTGTTGGTGTTTTGTTTTGGTTTTTTTTGTTTTGTTTTTTTCCAGGGCATTCAGTACGGGTTACATTATCATTATTTGTAGCACAGATCTGCGATAGAAAGTAAGAAATGAATAGGTGTTGTGCGACTTACTACTAAATTAGTCCATTTTGGAGGCATATAATGAACTAGATTAATGTTGTTTAGCAGGACAAGTCACAGATTAAGGAAGGACGCAAAGATGCTGTAAGCATTGCATTAAAGCTCCTCTGCATTAGCACTTGTTCAGTTTTACAGTAATAGTCTGTGTCTTCAAAAGCCTGCTGAATAAATGATTTGTCTCACCATATGGAAATTTTCCATGGGAACCAGGGATTAACTTTATTTTTCTGAGTCATAACTGAATGCTATAAGTCCTAGTTCACTGTTAGCAATATCATTATAATTAACCCTAACAATTTGCTTTGATAGCAATTGTAATCCACATAAGAATAAAAACTGCCAGAGAGGAGTAGTGAGAAAAGGAGGAGTTTCTTTCACAGTCAAGAGTGGTGAGAGCTGTTTGTTTTTGTCTCCATGGAAAACAAAAATATGCCCTTAATACTGCCAGGAGCGGATGGCATTGACAAAGCTGCTTAACATTTCACAGGGAAAGAAGTATATTTTCCAGTTTGGGATATATACTGTGTACATATGTATGCATTCTGTATTATGAAAAAAGTATCTATCTCAAGTGTCTTTTCACTTATATTTTCACATGGGAAATAAATGCTGCTAAGAAAACCTGATCAGCTCTTTATCAGGAGTAATGCAACACAGCCAGCTCCTTTTGGTGTGATTTGGTGGTATTCAGATTATGCATATTATGTCTTAGACACAGGGAAATCAGACAAATCCTTTCCTTGTTTTAACAGAAGAATTTAATGAGGATTTGGTTATGAATTTTGACAGTCTCTGCAGCTATGTTCTTGCCTCTGTTAGGAGGTGCTAATATCCCTACATCGTTCAGCTGCTGCTGCTGTTACATTCAGAGGTTGCTTCTCCTGCTGAGGAGGATCTTTCACCATTTTGTTTTCTCATCCACACCCTGTCTAAACTTTGATCACCCCTAGCCAACATGGAATCCACCCTTCCACACTATTGCCCATCCTTTCTCTTCCCTCTTTGCCTGAAGCTGTTTGGTATCTTCTGACTCCCTCACAAACACTTGTTCATAAACACATCCTTCCTGTCTCATAATACCACTTTACAGAAAATTTAGGCTGTCTCATTTTATCCAGATCTTTCGGTCCTATATCTACCCTTTAAACTCCAGAGATGGTGATCATCCCAGATTTTACATTCCCACTCTGCTACAAGACATGTGCTCTCATGTGCTCTGAGATCATCCACGTAACTTGTGTGGTGTGCCTCAGGTCACTGTAAGACTAAGGAATCTGTGACAACTTTTAATTCCCTTCCACCTTTTGTGACAAAGATGTAACTAGTCTTGCTGGACATCTGGCAGCACCTGCTAGACTACCCCTAGTTGCCCTCCACAGCTGTTTGTTATCTCTGATGCTGGACAATGCTACCTCTCAAGAATGAGAAAACTAACTGGCTACACTGTTCATGCCAGTTCAGCCCATTGATAACTGCAGTGAATCAGTGCTCACAAAGGTAGCTCTGCTGGCAGAGGGAGGGAAGCTATTAGCTCCTGAGGCAGAGGCAAGGACAAGTAATTGGAGAAACACTGAAAGTGTTAACTCCTTCTACCAGCAGAGCTAGGTCAGGACAGGCCCATCCCTTCAGCATTCCCTTTAACCTGTCTGCTAGGGAATACGTGGACTGTCTGAATAACTTCCAAGTCATTCTCTTTTTATTAATGCATAAAATACCACTGGCTTTTAGTTCCTCAACTTGATTCAGGGCTTGTTAAATAACTGGAGGTGGCTTTTCATGTGTCTGACCAACAAGCATCATCTTATTTATCCCTGAGCACTTCCTTAATTCTCATTCACAAGGAAGTCTAAAATGCCCAGAGGACCACAAATCTTTCTGGTGTGAACTCTCTTCACTGGAGAATGCCAGAAATTCTAGTCATTTGGAGCAGAGATAAAGTTCAGCCTAGAATATGAGTTCTGTTCTTCCTCAAAGATATTTAATGGCAAACCTAACCTTTTGGTTTATCTTTAGTAGACGGATGTGGACAGGAATTCCAGACCCAGATCTCTGCCTTTACTATCTGGAAGTGCGTCCACCTTAGAAGCCAAAGAAGTTACAGAAAACTGCTGTTCTTCCACAGTTTGCCAGGAAATCCTTCAAATGTTGCTTTCTGACTTGTTTTCTCTGGCCTCTCCAGTATTGTTTCTTGTGAGCTGATAGTTCTGTATTCCCATTGCACTTTAATATAAATAAATAGTATTAGAAGGCAATCTGCTCATGAACTCTCTGCTGCTAAATGATGAAGCAAAGTCAAATGAAAAAACAGGATCTGTTTAACCTTGTTCAGTGCCTCCAAAAGTGGTTTGTGACCCTTGGCCCCATTGTGCTGAAGATAGCTGGTTTATTCCAGAGAAATGAGAGGCTGAGTCAGCCTTACTGGGAACTGAACCTGCCCTTCCAGGAAGACCCCCGTGATGTCCTTCTCTGACACTTTATAAGCTGTATAAGCACAGGAAATTTATTACTTCTTTTCCAGTCTTGGTCTAATCAGTAAAAAATCAAATGTAAACAGCATTTTTTAGGTTCATGATTGAAGGAGTTGTTGTTGGAACCTGTTTCTTCTCTAGATGTTTTATAGATACTTACTCAATGCATGACAACAGCATTTGTAATGTTGTGGTGAGCACACTTTCAACAAATGAAGCAAAAAGAAATAGTGGCAATCTCTGATTCTTGAATCATCTTCACCAGATAGTGGAAGGGGTTTCTGATTTTATCTGTGTGTGAATGTATTGACCAGGAAAATTGATCAAATAATAAAATTTGAAGTGGTATATAAAGTTTCTTCTTGGGCATCATGTGACACTTAAAATTACAAAATATAAAAGAAACTGGTTCTTTTCTTGCCCACTTCAATATTATTGGAAGGTGGTTTCCCCAGATCTCCTAGTTCTGGTGAGGTATGCTTCATCATATGCCTGATGTTTCTTTCTTCCTTTAAATGGCAAATAAAGAAACGAAATAGTGTGAAAATTATGTCAAATTTGCTTTGCATCCTACTAGAGGAAAGGGAAAATGTACTTGTAAACTCTTTATGAGACTATTGCCACTAATCTTCCCTCCAAGGGAATAATGAATCCTCTTTGTGTAACTGCTGTATAAAGCTTTTTAATGTCAAACTTGTCTATCTGGAATGCATAGTGTTTCCAATACTGAATCCTGGGTGAATTCAGTATGTCCAGGATATAGTTCAAAATTATCTTCTTCAGCTTTGTGGCTGTAACAGTCTATGGATTAAGCTTCCATCTTTCTAGTTTGGAGAGTATGAAATGACCTTGGGTTTACCTCCCATTGTCTCTCGCTGCAGCAGAACTAGACGCCATCTAGAGCATGCACATATCTAGATTGACTTCTGCTCTGTAAATCACAGAACAACAGGAAAAATTTAATGCTACAGAAATGCACCTATCTGGGTTGTGATAGAAACATAGCTCTCCCTAGAAGAGTGATTATCACAGTCCTGTACTAGACTTAGCTGCGTGCACACAGAGCTGGTGACTGCCAAAATTATGGAATCATAGAATCACAGAATGGTTTGAGCTGGAAGGTCATCTAGTTGGGTTGTCAAGATCCTGCAATGGGCAGGGACATCTTCAACTTGCTCAGTTGATCAGAGCGCCATACAGCCTGACCTTGAATATTTCTAGGGATGGGGCATCTACCACTACCCTGGGCAACCTGTTCCAGTGTTTCATCATAAAAAATTTCTTCCTTATATCTAGTCTGAATCTATCATCGGTAAGTCTTCATCTCTGAGGTGGAAGTGGTCAGATGCAAGAGCTCTTCCATGAGGGAAGTTTGAACTAAAGTGGGGTGGCTCCTTTCTTTCCCCATTGTCCTTACTTGTCATTGCTATTTTATGCTCCTTGACCTTCTTCAAAGGAAAAGGCAGGGGAGAGCATCATCTGCCTCCAGCATAGTTTATTTTTGTGACCAGGACATGTTCTGTTCTCCTGCTTGTTCTGTGTACTTTGTTCTTATCTTGCAGATTTTATTATTTGCACATGTTTTTCTGCACCCTGTTTGTGCAACAATGCCAGAAGCCTCCGCTTGTCCTTTTTTGTGGATGCTTAATGGTTCTCATGCATAGGCTTAGAATCCTTACAAAATGCTTGAACATTGTTGCTGATTATGTCATTAACAGTTTTACAACGTTACAAAATACTTAAACATCATTGTCAACTGTGGTATTTAGTGTAGGTAGGTCTAGATTCATCGGAAGTAAATATTAATTATATACTGCTTAGTATGGTTCTAGTTTAGGTGTCTCTGTTGGCTACACCAGTTGGAGAAGGTTAACTTCTCTATGGCTAACAATATATTCCTCTTCTTTACAGTGGGTCTTCCTAACGTCATCTTGATCGTAGGATCTCTAGTTCTGCTGGTTGCAATAGCAGTCTCTGTTATGCTTTATCAGTCCTTCCGAGTTGATATCGTCCTATTGTATCGGGAGATATTTCAGCCCTACTCAGTCAAGGATGGTGAGTAAGAATTGAGCCAGAAAGTTTAAAAAAAGAAAAAAAGGCAAATCATAGTGAAATATATTTATTTGATAGTTTCTTACTAACTCATATGACAACTGAGCCTGATCCTTCGCTTTCTCAAGCCTTTTGAAATTATTTAGATAGGAGGAGACATACACAGCTCTGTTAGTGCTTTACATTCCCTTGTTTCCTGGGTTCTGTAATGATGTATTACATTAAAGAGGGATTCAGTCCTGGTTTTGTATTTTTTTAACAAAAGTATTTGCCATGAAACAGTGAATGACAGTGAAAATCCAATTTACAGAGCTATTAACTGTACTTGTTATGTGTTCTCTAAAGCAAAGGAACCAGCCTGCTGGCTAATGTGTTAACAAGCATGTGTTAGAGCACTACAGTTTTTATAAGCCAAAGAGAAAGGTACCAATATTGTGCGAGACACTTCTGAGGGGAATACATCCATCCAGCTTTAGGGGTCCACGTGAGCTCAAGGTTAAGACATCTAAATTTAGTTGTGTGCAATGAAGGTGTGCACATGCAAGTTCCCGTGAGTGAAACCTGGAGACCTGGGGCTGGGTTCGGCTGTCAAACCATAAGCAGCTAGTGCTGTTGGAGCTCTGTTAGGGCTTGAGGGAGACCTGAACTCCTCTGCAGTGCCAGCTGAAGGGCAGGCAGTGACTCATGACATTATGTGGCACATGTTTTTAGGTGACCAAATCAGGTCCTCATCAATAAAATTAACAGAAGCTAGGCAATCACTGGGACCTTGCTTCAGTGGTCTAAACATGGGCATCTAGAGCCATCTGGGATGGCCAAAAAAATGGACACATAACACAGATATGCTGGATGTTGTAGACTTCTGGACCAGGGTCTGGAGATCAGGCAGGATACCATAGGAAGATTCAAATGGCACGAGATGTCATATGTTTAGGCAACTCAGCTGGGCCCCTGGCATTTACATGAGAGTATTCTGAATCACTCTAGAATGCACCAATTGTGATGACCAGTTCTTCACTGATTGTAGCAGGAGTTTAGACATCTAGCTTTCATGAGGACACCACACTGGCATTTACATTTTTAAAACCTGAAGCTGGCTTTTACCACAGATGTCTGCATGGTAGGTTTTTACACCTGATCTAGTTACTTACGTTCTCTTTAAAGAGGAAAGAAGTATGCTTTTTAGGGCAGTTTCCATTTACATATATTTTGTGATAAAATGAATCAGATTCTGGAAATATCTGGACCATCCAGGATGGTCTGGACCATCCAGGATGATCTGGACAAAAAACCTCAGATAGCAATAAAAGAAGAGATATGATCATCTCCACTGGAAGAAAAGAAATTAAACATTTGGGATTAGAAAACAAATGCTGTAATGGAAAACATACATGAGAGAAATGAAGAAAAGAGTGAAGAAGTATTTGACTTTATATTGACTTGGTTCTAGTTGTAAGACTACTTCCTGAGTAACGGAGCTTTTCACTCAGAAACATGATATGTTGTGGGAATGATGAGTAATTTCTTCAAGGTGGAAGAATTTAAGTGGCATGTCTTGTCCTGAAACACAAAGGCTGTTAACAGGCTATTCTATCATTGAAATAACAAATGCTGAGCTTCATCTCTATTTCATGCTAATACATATTGATCAATTGGATTCTTACTCTATGTACTCTGGGATAGAGCCTTAACAGTACAAAGGCCAGGTTCTCCAAAGTTACAAACACACAGGACATAACAATTGAGCAGGAAAAACACCAGATATGCAGAGTCTCTAATTTCCAAACATGCATGAAATCATATACTTTATTCAGATTAGCAGGAACTTCTACTTAATCTATTTCAAAGACAGATATTTTTATCTCTCTTCTAGATTTTGCAATTGACAGCTCTAATTCATGTTAACACAATACACTTTCCACTTGTCTTGCCTTACAGATGGGAAGATATATGATGCATATGTTATCTACCCAAAAAGCCACACCAATGAAGCTAATTTTGTGGAATATTTTGTTTACCAAATCATGCCAGATATTCTAGAAAATAAATGTGGATATAAACTGTGTATTTATGGGAGAGATATATATCCTGGAGAAGGTAAGTTTCAGATCAGATAATGCACTGAATGACTTGTCAAGCTTGAGCAAATTGTGGTTCTGTCCCTTTGAAGCTCCCACATGTTCCTGATCTTGCTGTTCATGTCCTCAGCAGCTGTGTGTCTGCTCTTTCAGGCAGGGTGACACTATGGCACTCTGTGCTTGGTGGTGTGCTAAGAAACACAAGCTGCAGAGCAGGGGCATAGATTGCTTACCATCTTAGTGGGTCATGCAGGAAATGTGACCCCAAGTTTGACTCTTTTAAACACACACCTGCTCTTTGGGTAGTGTAACTCTGCACAGCCATTATCTGGGCAAAGCCACAACCAAACCGTGTGTGAGTAGTTCTACAAGACACGGAAGAGGAGAAAACCACAAGCTAAGTTGAGGAATCAACCTTGCTGTTATCACTCAGAGTTTTTCAACCTGTTACGAGGATGTCAGACTCACGGGAAGTTCAGCTTCTGTTTACATGACCTACTTTCACTTCACACAGTTCCCAGCACTAATTCAGGGGAGAACTAATATTCTTTATTCTTGCTTCCTTGTCTTTCAGAATGGAATAATGTTAATTAATCTGTGCTAATTTCCACATGGACACCTCTATGCTATCTCTTATGATTGCTGTCATCTAGGTGCTCTTTGGTTTCTTCCAGAGCTGACTTGTCTGTTTATCTTGTGCTCTGGTTATTGTGTGGTCCAGATCTCTCCCTGTCAGTAAGCAGACATGAAGCCAAAGCTGGCACATTTTCTGTTACACATTTCAGAAATTATCTGCATTGGGCCAGTTGTCACTCTGAGATCTCTGATGTCCTCTTCTGGAGAGTAGCAAAAGCGCTGCCTGGCCTTGGGAAAAGCCAGTACAAGAAGAATGTAAAAAAACCTGCAAGACTTGCTGAGTCAGACCATTCCCAGATGCAGAACAAGGAACTAACAGTGGCTCAGAAAACTGTCAGTGATAAAAACTTATACCACCTCTTCAGGTGATTAGGGTCAGGGCAATATTTTGTTATGGGACACTACTCTCAAACTGGTTTATGGGTGGCAATCCTGAAGAAAACTGAGCATGGCATGCGACTGAGGTGAAGATTGTGGGACTAGCAAGGGCTCTAATAAGTTGGATGAAATCAAAGACATTTTCACTGTATGAAGGCATGAATGGATGCCTGTAGACCAGGAGGACAGAAGACTCACCAAGCCAGGCTTGGACAGTGAGTAAATTTTGTTTGATTTGTTCGGCCTGATTTAATCAAAACTCTAGAAATGTCATGAGTATTGACCATTGTCCTTCTTTTTCTCTTCCTGCCTACTTGCCCAGCCTTCTTTTTTTCTCTTCCTTGTCCACTTTCATGCCCCAAAATGCTTTCACTTGTTGTGGAAAAGCTATTCTAAATCTGCCAGCCACTGGAAGCACTTAAAAGTTCTCTGCTTCCAGGCAGACAGACTTTACCCATATGCTCCCCAGTTCTTGTTTATCTTATGATCTTGAGCCTTTAATTACCAGGCTTCCAAATCCAAAACCTTACAATTAAAATATACTAAGCAGAGTAAAACAGGAAATGCCATTTAGAGTTACTGTGATCCTTCCTGAACATGTATAATATTTTTCACTGTAAAACTCCATGTATTTCCAGGAAAAAAAAAATAATTGCAGTGAGGATATAAAATGGAATTATTGTTTCAAGATATGCTTATCACTCTTGGTTCCAGAGCAAAGCTTTGTTACTTGAAACTTGTGTTCTTCCAGTAAAAAGGGAAGTTAAACAGAATGATTCAAGTGATAAACAGCACTGCAGAGCTGTTGGACTTCCATTATGCTTCCCTAAACTAGCATTCTTTTTGTTTCGTGGTCTTCCTGATCAATGGCATTTTCTACAACCTAACAGTTGCTTGAAGAGGTGCAAAGGCAACTATTAGCCAGCAAACCAAGAGTTTTCACCAACATCACCTTCTACTCCATTCTTCTCATGGTCTCATTGTCCTGCCAACTGCAATCCTTACTGCAGAATCTAACCAAACACTGCCGGAGCTGCTGTATCTGTAACACACAGCACCAAGCAAAAACCAGAGGAATGATTATACTTCACCGGAGCAATGTTCTGTGTAGCCAAGTGTCCTATCTTCATCAGTAGCCATGGGCAAAGGATTGGAAAAGACTTTAAGAATATGAAAAGCTTATATTATACTTCCACTAATGTACTCTCCCAGCAGTATGTAGACTTCAGATGCTTTTTTGAATTTTTGATGATGTATGATCAAGATGAATTTTTGTGTATAATAATTGCTGGTGGATTTTTATTTCACAATATTTCCTGTCACTTTCTGAACACAAATAAACTTCTAACATTCACAAAACATGTTGCAATGAATCCCTCGGTTGAAGTATTTGCAGCACGCAGTCCCATCTTTCCTCTCGCCACAAGTATGGTATCAGAAAACCAAATGGAGAAGTGCATGCCTTCCCAGGTCCATGGTCTTTTAATCTGAGCACAATGGACTGCACCTCAAAACTAAGATGTTTTTTTAAAAGATTTGTTATTATGGGAACTCAATGTTTGACAGTAGCTGCTTACCTAAATTTTTCTTAACTTCCAAAGGAACCATTCTCCTAACATCAAGAAAATTCAATGAAAAAGAAGAAAATGAAAGGAGTTTGAATTGGTGAACATGTCAGAAAGGCATCTGTGTTCACAGAATACTCTCAGAGTCAAGAAATAAGACAGAGAAGTCATTGAAAAGGTTCTCTTCCTGGCTCAAGAGCTGAAAAACTTTGCCTCTCTGAGACTGAGAAGACCCTTGCAATGGGCTGGGCAGACCCCATCAAAGGAAAAGAGGATGCATATGCAGCTGGCTGATGACATCTGCAAATCACTGGCTTTGTCATATAATTGTGATGTGGGATTTCCTTAGCTCGGCTGTCACCTTCTTTCTTTAGGCCCAGCATTACATGCTCCCACCAAAACAACTCCAGCTTTCATTCCACAGATCACAGGAATCTCTTCTAACTGGGCTGAGCATTTCACTGGACAGACATTTACCTGCAGTCTTCCTCCCACAAACATCACAGCAAGAAAATCAAGAAAAGCAGATCCTGGAGGCTTGATGTAGAACTTTCCAAGCTGGCCCAGAAGTTTCTCCCCATAGCATGCTGGCTTTTGAGTTTCCCAGGTTTAAAACCTCCAACATCACAGTCCCAGTTGAGGTTTATCAGCTCTCCCTAACATGTCAGTGGGACAGAAAAACACCTTTAATCATGCTGACATAGAAATGCCCTGCAATCTATATCCACCCCTGCAGGGCAGAAGCCAACCCAATGCACAGGTTAGCTTATAAATGAGCTGGTTATAGCTCAGAAGAACACTCCCTCTGTCGGTAAGTAAGGGTCTTAGAAGCAAGTCACCCAAAAGTCTCCAAAATGACTAAGTTTTCATGGGTAAATATTTCAAGATCAGACTGTAAAGCACCAAACTCGTTAGAACATGATTCCTTACATGAAAATTATTGATTGAGTACAAATTTGATGCAGTCTAGATCTACTGAACTTTACCCTAGGTTGTTGGATTAGAAATTCTTAATAATTCTTAAGAGCAATGAAAATTTGAATGTTTCAACCAAAGAAAACATTTGAAAAGAAAGGAAATCTTTGGTTTGGTGGTTGTTTTGGTGGTTTGTTGTTTTTTTTTTTTTATTTTTTTTAATTTTTTTATGTTTTTATGTTTTGGTTTTGTTTTTTAAAACTTTTTTTCTTATGAATGGACTGACGTGAGACAGAAGTTATTTTCTGGTTAAAATGCAATGCAAATGAAGTGCCTAACCACAGAAGAGTTTACAGAAGAAAGTTCAGGGTCTCATCATTTTCTTGTACATTCCTAGATACAGCCAGTGCAATTGAGAAGAGGATGCAAAAGAGCAGACGTCTGATCATCCTTCTAACATGCCAGCTGATTAATTGTAAGGAACATGCTTATGATCAACACATTGCTTTATACAATGCTCTCATTCAAAATGATACAAAGGTGATCCTTCTGGAAATGGAGACAATTGGGACTTATGAGAAGCTTCAGGAATCTCTTAGGTTTATTGTTAAGAGGCAAGGTACCATCAAATGGAAAGAGCAGCACACTGTGCACCCACAGTCATCCAATTCTAAGTTCTGGAAACAGGTGAGGTACCACATGCCACGGACACTCAGGTCCTCATACTCAGCTAACACTGGGTGAACAGTCTATGAAAATACTGTTACACCACTAGGGTGGACCACATGCCTGCAGCTCTTTATCATTTCAGTATGTACATCATTATACAGTCTGGAAGTCTGACCATTTCTGAACTTTTTTCAGTCCTTCAACTGAGTAATGATACAGTAAACTGATGGAAGAGGTCTGGGGAACTGAGAGAAGTTTTTATAGGTATGGAATTTCTGTCAATAAATCATTCTAGGCTGCGTGCAGAATTTTGCATGACACAGGAAACAAAATGTACCTATGCTCTTAGTATATATAGTTGTACCTGTAGCTGAAAGTTATGATTCTGTATAGCTGAATGCCTTGCAGGTTTGCTTTACCTTTCTAATGCAGTTGATAAATACCTTCTGTATTATTTGAATAGAAAGCATAATGTGTATTCTGCAACTAGAAAATATAATGTTCTGCTTTTGGGGTTTGGTTTTTTTTTTCACCACTTATTCTTTCTTGATTCAATAATAATACTCAGACCATAAGATTTTATTTTTCCTTAGTATGGATGCCTCAGTAAATGCTCTTTTAAGACTGATGTGAATACAGCATTTTAAAAAAAATGGTGTTAAGGGGAAAAAATACACTGATATATACTTATAAGCATTTTAAAATATTTTACATATATATATTAAAATGAATCTCACACAAAGGGGAAATTTTAAATCTTTCCGATACAACAGACTTTCCATTGCTCTTGTTATTATCTCCAGATAGAAATAATATTTTAAAATTTAAGGTGGATTTTGTACACTGATAGAATTCCTTTAAGCTAACTGAAAAAAAGAGACTACATTTTTATAACAGGCAGTATCCCTTTTTTTTCCCCCCTTGCCTTGACCTTATGCCTCGTTACACTTTCTTCTTATAGGGAATACCCTGAGATGAGAAGGTCAGAGCCAAATCTTGTAAGTTCAGGGGAGTATGAACAAAATGTGTTCTAGTACAGATATCCTTGCAAACTTTAATCTTTTCAGCTTTTTAAAACCAGGAATTTTCTTCTGTCAGAGAAGGCTTGTTTTTGAGCTTCAGGCTTGCTACAGAATGGAGTTAAAAAGTGAAAATTAGATGCAGAATATTTAATGTTACCAAATCCAGGCTTACAGAACAGACAAGTCCTTTTACTGTAAAGTTTTACTGAATGTGGATCTTCAGACTTATGGATAACTATCCGGAGTAGGAAAAATGTGTATGCAATATTTGTAAGGATTTTTTTCAACATGAAATTAAAAGATCTATGGCAAACTAAACAGCTTTTCATTGATGAGTTATATTTTCAAGTGTTCATGCACTCATCGCTCACTTCACCACAACTGTAAGACATCTAATGTTGCATTTTATTATTGTCTCATTAGATTGTGTGCAGTGTTGGGTCCTGTTCCTAAAGATCCCTCTAGATAAACTTCACTATCTCTGTGGAAGCTCCACAGAATGGATTCATGCCAATGTAAGAGACTAGGTTATTCCTCCAGTAACATTTCTTCCCACAGAAAGAATATTAATCCTAAGGCATGTTTAAAGGCAGGAAAGCCTGTTGCTTTACACTATGAAGATTTTCACAGCAGCTCCTGAGCAAGACAGAGTATTCACTTCCAAGATTATTACAAGATCAACTTTTAGTAGGGTTTGAGTCTTGGGCACTTGATGAGACAGAAAGGATGATAACTGAGTATCTTGGAAACAAAAGTCTAGGACAAATTTTGAAGCTGGAGAGGGATGAGAAGGTACAATGAGGAAGTACATGGGGTCAGCAATGAACCAAATTACTCTGAAACGTACTGATAGCTCATTAACTTCTGTTAGTTAGGGTCTTGTAGTGACATTCCTTTTCTATCAAGGCTTATGGTCAATCAAGAAAAAAAGAGAACAATATCAAGCAAAATCTGACAACTCTTACTGTAGTTTACCAGCAGTGAACAGTACGGCCTTCACAGAAAGAAAAGGGACAATTTCTGAGAGTGACAAATTTTACAGAACCAGGGGTAACTATGTGACTGTAATAATAACAAAAAAATGCTGCAGTGGTCACTTCTTTTTGTATTCCTTGGCGGCTAGTAAATAAATCTGAGATATGCATTAAAATTAATGTTTTTCTATAGGTGTTAACACATTTGTAGTGTTAGAAAGAAGTAATGAAAAGAACTGTGGAATACTTTTACAACATTAGCACCACTGAATTTTGGGCTCCTCAGTAGAAGAGAGACATGGATGTACTGGAGAGAGTCCAACAAAAGCCAAGAGTTTGGTGAAGGGACTGGAGCATCTCTCCTACGAAGAACAGCTGAGAGAGCTGGGACTATTTAGCCTGGAGAGAAGGCGGCTCCCATCTGAAGGGAGGGTGCAAAGAAGGTGGAGTGAGGGTCTTCTCAACGATGCCCAGTGACAAGGGCAGAGGCAAGGGTCACGAACTGAAACAGAAGAGGTGCCCTCTGAACATCACAGAACACTTTTTTATGGTGAGGGTGACCCAGTACTGGCACAGGTTGCTCAGGGAAGTTGTGGAGTTTGCATCCTTAAGGATACTCAAAAGCTGCCTGGACACAGTTCTGGGAAACTGGCTCTAGGTGGCCCTTCTTGATCATAGGGATTGGATTAGACAACCTCCAGAGGTCTGCCATCCTCAACCATTCTGTGATATGGGACTTGCAAAGAATCTAAATTTTCGAAAACATGTTTTTGAGGAAAATTGGCAATTTTCACACTAGGCAATCTACCGTAGTGGAATATTAGAAGGACAGTCTGTCCTGTGCAAATAGTCTCTCACCATAGAAAGCTCATAGAAAAATCAGTTTGGATGCCTAAAGCTTAAACTACACAGAACAAAAGTAATTTTGTTGCTGAATTATAACTTCCATGTTGAGATTTAATGCTATTTAATTACTGCCCTGTGCTTCCCTGGTTTCGTACCCTCAAGGGATTCCAGAGAGCAGATTTGCTCTCACTTGTTAATAGAGCAGTGTGACCTTGCCATCTAGTGGATGAACAGGCATCAAGACATTCTGAGCAACTAGAAATCGGTCTAATAGCATTAGAATTAAAGACAGTGACATTTTCGTGGTGTACATACTGCTGTAATCTCCCGAAACCCATACTGCATTACTTGTAAACAGCAGCTCAAGATCTGGCATTAAGAATACAATGCTGACTCTCTTATAATAACATATTTTGAAGGAACAGAAGTGTCTCCCTGCCATATAACTGCAGTCATACATAGCTGTATGTCCCCACTGTAAAATCTTATCTCTGGATGTTTCATATCTGAAAAATATATGCTGCACTTCTGGCAATAAATAAATAACAAAGACACAGGAATAAGGATTGACTTAACTGACTCGGACACCTGTGGTGAAGCTCCTGGTGACTTCCAAGGTATGAAACCAGCTCCTGCTAATATGAAGTAGAATAACTGCAGACAGCACGTAGAATGTACCACCCTCCCCACATATGCATTTAATATACACCAGCCCTTTGTATGAACATATTCAATGGTTTGGCCTTGAGGTCTCCTATACTGTTGAGATTTGATGTTCCCACAGCTCAGGGAACCACGACCCCTGCTGGCTTCTTCACCTAAATCACAGTCCTGAAAAGCCAGCTCCTGACACATGCAGGGAGAGAGTTTTACCTATATTTGCTTCACATGGTTGTGAAGCCCAAGAGTCTGAACACTCAAAAGAAGTTTTTAGAAGTTTTTGTAGCAAGCTATTATTTGTAGTTTATGCAACATTAATTTCTTACAGCATTGGAGAAAGGTTATGTTTGGAAGAGAATATGCAAAATTGATAGTATATTCTATAGAAAAACTGTACACGTACAACTGTATGTTCTTGACTCTTTCAAGGATTAAAAAACTACAGCTGTTGTGTTAGAAACATGTACTCATGTGTTCCCTTTTCTCACTTTAAAGCGTGAGCTACCTGCCCAATTTTATATGAAAGATAGAATTTGTTATATAGCAATTTATTCTTTAAAACTGCTTCTAGTCTGGGACGATTACGAAGCAATCCTCCTTGAAGACACTTCAAAATACACAAAGGAGAAGATGGTGACTGGATTTACAAAAGGCATATCATGCACATCCATCTGTGCTGTGGACGATGGAGAACACTGGATGCTGCATACCTTGAATTGAGCAAGGCCTTTGACAGAGTCTCTGTTGGTGAGATATAGATAAGTGGACAAAGATGAGTGGAAAAACAGTGGGACTGAAGTTTGTGGGGGAGCAACACATGATCAGCATAGAAACATCAGCTCACAGCAAATGAAAAGTGACATCCCTCAGGGACTGATATTGGTACCACTACTGTTTAGCATCCTTATTAGTGACCTTGGCAATGGGACAGGCTGCACAAACCAAACTGGGTAAGTATAGTTGGCACACTGGAGCACAGGGCTGCTGTTTTGGAGCAAGGGCTGCTGTTTTGGACTTGTTCAGTCCAAGGCATATGCAAAGTGCTGCATCTGGGGTGGAATAAATCCATTCAACAACAGAGCCTGGAGGTCAACACAAAATAGCTTTGAAGAAAGAGACTGGATGTCCTGGTTAACACTAAGGTCAACCTGACCTCAGTTGACACTGAGACAGTAGTGTGTCTTTGTGACAAAGGCAAGCAAAGGCACCCTGCACCTTACTAGTGAGAATGTAGTTGAGGAAAGTAATTATTCCCCTGTATTCAGCATTTCCAAAATCACCTCTGGAGTGCTAGGTTAACTATGCTCCCCAGTACAAGTGAGGCATTGACATACCTGAGTGAGTCCAGGGAAAGACCACTAATAGCATAGGACACAGAAGGAGAGGACAAGAGGTCCTATTTCTGTCTACAAGAATCTAATAGAAAGATAGAGAGAATGGATGGAGCCAGGCTCTTCTCAAAGGAACACAGTGATAGGACAAAAAAGCAACTGGCACAAATTAGAACATGGGAAATATAAATTACATATTAGGAAAAAAATTTTCACCATATGGATGGTCAAATGCTGGAAAATGTGCCCAGAGAGGCTGTGGTGTTCTGGTCTCAGCTGTACGTGACCTGAGCAGGGGCTGGACCTGATGACCTCCAGAGGTCCCTTCCAACCTGAATTATTTGGTGGTGCTATGATGTGGAGGAAAGTTTGAAAATGTGCAACGTTGATATTTGAAGACTTATGTGAAATATATGAGGCTCCAATAGACATGTTATCAGTCTGGAATCTGCTTTTTGACATCAAAGGCAGATAATGCTGAAAAAAACATGGAATGTAACTTAACCTCCGCTAAGAATTTATATAACTGTTATACAGAGATGACAGAGGTAGATTAAAAAGGACTATTACCAGTTAGAAGCAAACAGGCTTAGACTGTGGTTGCAAGAGTTGGATGTGTTGCTGTTTATAATGGAAATAGTTTCACAGCTTAGGTTTTCAGTTAGCACCTCTGTGTAGTGCATGTTGGATGGAAAGGAAGATGTGAAAAACTGTGAGAAGTAACTGGTCTT